GAATCGATATATATATCAAGTATAGTTAGACCAAACGCTTCAAAATTCAACATAAAATAGCAAAATTATGTCCATTTTCAAAATGGCGGGTGGCGGCCATCTTGGATTTGAGGCACAAAATGGCCACCAATTGCTTCCAAATGATCAAAAAAGGGTTCCTTGTCTCTAATTTAGTCAGGTTTGATAATCTATACATGTTTCAAGGCCAAAAATTAATGGAAATATGAAATATTATATATTTTGGCACATAATTTGCATAATTTATGCTAATTAATGTATCGATAGAGGGCGTCTCTTTGGATAAAAAATTTTCTTTTGGCCCAAGGAACATTTATGCCAAGTTAGACATTTGTACTATAAAATGCAGCGTTTGACCTCTTAACAAGCCTACTAATGCTCTCTGTTTCCTAGGTTCTGCCATCACTGGTCCAGTGGCGAAGGAGTGTGCTGATCTCTGGCCCCGTATTGCCTCCAATGCCAGCTGTATCTGCTAGATGCCCCTGGACGCCATTACAAACTGAACTCCAGGAATATAATGGACCATTTAATACCACCACCGACTGCTCCTGAGAGTAGTCCGATAACTGATTCAGCAATTATGAACGCTCCTTTTTCATGTACAGAAAAAAAGAAAATAATAATTAAAAAACCCTTGGAAGAGAAGTTTGTGTTCTTTTTATTTCAGTTAAAAATTCTTCAATTCTTATTTGGGTTTTGTGTTAAAAAACCAACATTGATTGTGGTTGCTTAGGAGGGTAATGAAATGATAAGCTGGAAGCAGACACTTGAAAATATGAGGAAAATGCATATTTGAGAGGCGTGTAAAACTGTACATTGGGGATAGAAATGAAAATCCACTAATTGTACATGTGGCATTTGCTTGTTGAGGGTCTTTTCTCAAATGGTTCAAAATTCCTTTCCAGACATCTCTGTAAATAACAAGATCCATCTGCACATGAAAGCCTACAGATGAAAAAAATCTTGTCCTTCATGGATGTGCTTCAATCATTTCTATGCAGGCTCTTTTTGAAATTGTTTTCAAAGAGTTCTAGACAGATGCTTGAAATAATTGTGTTCCCACCCACCCGTAAATGTGTACTGTTAAGGTCGTGTACCATTTTCACCAATTAAATCACCTCGATTTACCTCTGCGGTTTCACTCAAGAAGACTTAGAAAGTGGCTGTTGAAGCAATTTATTATTCACTTGTTAATACCATCGTATAAATACAATAAGCCTCCTCATGGCCCCCATTACTTATATAATAATCATTATAATACTCTATAGTTGTGATTTATAATAAAAATATACACATGGAAGAGAGTAAAGGTGACCCATTTCAAGTACTGGCAAAGTCCTATCTCCTTGCTAACAAGAACTTTTTGGGCATGAACATTTTAACTTTTAGGAAAGGAAATAACTTTTATCAAAAGTGTACCTTCATAGCATCAATTAATCCGTTTTCAAATGCCTATATCACTGTTATCTCCCCCCCTGCTTATGTGAATAAGACCTTGCAAGCCCTCATGTAAGTGAACAAATGAACCAAAGCAATAGCGCATTCCTAATACATGCAGGAATGATATCCCTGGACCATGCTACATACTATTTCATATGTACAAATGTTTAACAATAACTGCCATCAAGTCTGGCGTAGCATTCACTTAAAAATAAGTGAAATGAGTGGTTTCTCACTAGACCAGGGACAACTGGCAAAATTAAATTTTTTTAGCGAACTTATCTTAAGCATTAAGCGAAACTTCTACACTAGTGGGAGGTTGAAATATTTTTTTACTCTGCTGTTAAACAGAGTGTCCTTCATTTCTTGGTCAGATCAGAGTTGCACTGGTTCTCGTGGTGAAATAACACACTGGCAAGTGTCTGTCCCTGAACTTGAAATCGATGTCAATTTGACTAGAGGAAAGGGGTGAAACTGCTACCACGTCCAAATTTACTTCCTTGATAGTAATCATGTTAGAACAATGGTATAAATGTGGGTAGGCTGGGTATGGTTATAATCCCCCAAAATAAAATAATCCCCTGCACGCAAGAACATGACTGGTTCACGATAAAATCCTACAAAATCTGGGAATCCAACATGGTGGATAAACCCTGATACAGTATAAAGTGCTCTATATTAATTAATAAATATAGTATAATTAACTTATAAGTGGTTCTTCAGAAGTCTATGCAGCACAGAGGGATTTCTGTGATGTAAGACATTCAAATAAAGTAGACCAATCATTTATAGTAATATTCCTTTTATAACCAATGGCAACATTCTCTCTTTCATTCACTGTAAATATAAATGGAACCTGCTTTCTAGTCATGCTTGGAATATGGCCAACCAAAATTACCAATCTATTTCTTAACTGGTGGAGGCATTCTTCGGTCTTCTATCACATTTCTATAGCCTTTTAAAGCAAGGAAGAACAAAGACACTGACAAAGTTGTAAAATGATAGCATTAACACCCAACCTTACAATTAGTTTGTAGAGATAAAAAAAATAAATAAAAAAAGTAGTAGTGCCTAGTAATTTACAAAAACATTGCATATATGTTTATATACTGGCTGAGGTTTATGTTACGGACTAGTATACAACTGAAAACTTGGAGTAAAATAAATATCAACATTATACGGATTGCATTAAATCTTAATATTGTTCATTAGCAACAAACTTATGGCAAATGCCATTTAATTCTTTAAATCCACCTTAAGGCAAGATGAAGAGACTACAAAAGATCTATTTGCACGTTTTCTTTCTCCTTTTTAGGCTAAATATGTTCAAATATGGATGCTATTTTCTTTGTCCACAAACAATGAAATTTCATGGAGAATCTAGCTTTAAACCACACACTTGTAGAGCAATACAGGTGTCTGAGGGTCTGCTGAAATAGGAAGTCCACTTCCACTTGATTTTAACCAGCCCCTCTTAGATCTCGACCCAATTACATCACACTTACCCAAACCTGTACAAATATAATGGAGGGCAGAATGCCTGTTACACGGATTCTAGAGTTTCTTTACATTGGTCTTTAAACCACATCTATTACTTCATTGCTTTAGTTGTGCAAATAACACAATCCTGGGTTTCAAAGTTTGCACATCTAACACAATCACTTCAATAACTGCATTTCTTCACTCTCCCATAGGGATATACACTAATTACCCCAGCCTGATTACAATGCCAAGGTTTTGCTAAGCATATAATACATAATAACCAGCTGTCTTCCACCCATTCCACTTTACATAAAGTAAAAGTATACTTAAATATCATTTCAGAGTAAAAATAACAGGTGCTAATACACTATATGATATATATATATATATATATAGCTATATACACTAGTATTTAACAGTTGAGTAAAACTTATCATTAGTGAACAATTGTTTTTCTAAGTGTTATAGCTGCATTGTGAATAAGTGAAAAAATGTATTTGTATATTTGTATGTTGATTTATAATATTTCCTTTTTTATGGTTTTAAGTATAAAATAATGGTGTTAAAAATGTAGTGACTTATAGCAACACAAAGTTTTTTTTAATTCTATTTTTCTTCTACAATAAGGGAATTTTTTTTTCTTTGTTCAAAAATGCACAAATCATATTTCTTTTTCAAAAGCAAGAACTTAATGTGACATATTATGTAAGCATCCACCCTCATTCAGAATTAATGAAAACTTTCCCTACTTTTTCCTGAATTTAATTTATGCTGCTCCAGCTTGACTACCCTTACATACACTGGAGTTGGAAGGGCTATTCACACACCCCTTTTGTAGAAAATAAATATCTTCTTTAAGATGTACAAAATTCTTCTACTTTTTCTAACTGCAATAATTGATGGTATATAGCTGTATAATTTAATATTTCCCAGTTATGTATCAGTATTAAATAGTTTGGTTCCAATACATATTCTCTCCTTGACGATGAAAGGTTCAAAGAGGTGGATGAACATTCTCAGGAACAAATATTTCCAGAAACTCTTCATCTCCACTGGAACTTCTTCGTATTCTCATTTCCTTGCGTTTGGTTGCCAGCATGCGTTTGCGTGCCTCGTCGCGCTTTTTGGCAGCCTCCGATCTTGGAGTCTTCGACCTTGGTGAGTGTTTCACTGGAGTTTTGACTTTGGAAGACATCTGAGACAGAAGAAAAAAACATTTCATTAGAAGGTGGTACTTGTCAGAGTTAATAAAATCCAACTCTCAAATTAGGTATTTGTATCCTGATTAAGACAGGCAGACAGCTCAAGATTTAATTTCTTTCTCAACTCAGGGTACATCCTGTCAGAGATGAACGCTAAACAGGGAATCAATTTCAGGAAAAGTTTTCGAAATGGACGGTGCATGAATCTAAGCTATTGACTTCCACAACTTCCGCATTTCCTAAAGAAAAAGAAAGAAGACGACCTTCAATGTGTTAACAGGCCTGCAGGTAGGGGGATCGAACAAACCTCCCTTTATGGCAGGGAAAAGGTCTGGGTAAAATTTGATCTAGGTACATGAAGGTTTCATGGTTTAAAGGTGCACTTTTTCAGAAAAAGGACTTCTCTCTTTGAAATTGGTGGCTACGGGTCTGTTTAAGAATCATGAATCCAATACCCAATTGTACATGACAAAATATTCCATACTCATGTAACATGGACTTAAAAAAACAAACAACATTAAAAACATTAAAAAGTTAACCATACCCATACAGGCCAGCAGACCCCACAACCATTTTTTTTCTGGTCAAGAATAGATTTTTGTCACTTTCTCACAAAAGTCTCCCTATTACTGTTCATAACAAAGAGCGCACCATAAAAAGTGAACCATCGACAGATAAATTATTTTTACACAGATGAAAGCTATTGTGTGCGCCAACATACAATTCCTTTATGAATGTCTTCTCCAATCTGCCACCCTCTTAGCAGCAATTGCTACAATAATTGACAAATATCTTATACTCTTAGATCACTAAAATGTGCAGCATCTTCAAATATTAACAATTATTAAAATATTTAATTACTTCATGGATAAAAACAAGGTATTTAGAAATATTGTTTGAAAAAAAAATGCAATCCTTAGTTGCTGGAACATGCTATTATTAAATCAGCATCTCAAGTGAAATGAAGGAGTGCCCATATTCTTGGGTATTGTAATTATAATTATAAATCCATTCTTAAATTTCTAATAAACCTGTTGCTCAGGGCTATAAAAGTGAAGTGGTATGGGTGGGAGAGGGGAGAGATGAACTTAAGATGATTTTAAAAATCTATCTGTGACTGTGTTCTAGAATAAGTATGAAAAATTATATGGTGCTGAAATAAATGCAGTTTAATTTATAATGCAATACTGGAATCAGAATGTTTTTCAAAACCAAATGTTTCAGACAAAAAGATTCAAATAGCTGAAAACTAATTTCACTTCCCAAACTCAATCTTTTTCACTAAAGATTTGGCATATTTCTTTTTTCTCACTCATCTAAAAATCTTTTACTGTAATACTCTAGCTCAAAAATTATTTGAACAAAAACCCAGAAAAACAAAGAGAAAAATGTGCTTGAATTGATATGCTGGTGTCCCAATATTCCAACTGTGTTCCACTAACGTCCTATAATACTAATTCTGTGGTACCAAATCACATGATAGAAGATAACAGCACAAAGAAAAACTTCAGCTACCACTAATAAACAAATTGTAATTCAATCAGATACAGAATAACCACTTAAGGCAGAAAAAATCCAAAATGTTCGTCATTCTAAATATTTTGAATATATAAACAGCAAAAACTATTAGATAAGCCAATTTGTTTCTAGACCTGATAGTATCTATTTTATGCTGTGTCATCTTTCATGTGAAGCCTAAACAGAAGATGAAACAAAATGGAAAACGTGATCAGTTGTAGCTGTTAGTAGTAATAGTAGAATAAAGGAAGATGTATTGGTGAGAATCTCAATAAAGAAACAGGCCACATCAAATGGGTTCAGTACAAATTACTGTACCTCTTCCTCTTCCACATCTAAATGGAGGACGGAACAAGGTTCCTAAAATATCAAATTTTCAATGAACAGGCATACAACCACTTGCAACACTTTTTACACTGCGACATCATATCATAAGTGAAACAGAAAGTGGCATCACAACAATACTGAAAGCTACACAAGCTTTTGTAACATCATCAATTTTGTCAAATGTTATTGCATCACAGCTCTGTGACATCACCGCTGAAGCAGTAAGTTACATCACAAAGTTGTGAGAGCCATGTGGCATCACGGCAAAAGCAAGTGAGATTACTAAAACACTGCCAATATCCCAAGTGACATCATACAGCCATTTCTGATGTCAAAATATCAGTTAAGTAACTTGTGACATCACATATATGGCCTGTTAAATAACAATTTACAAGACTCGGACTTATTTGATGTCTAAACCCTGACAAATTCATCATAGACTGTGCTTCTTTCATGTAGTCAGTGAAATTGTGATGTCACAAAGTTAAAACTGCTCTATGTGAAATTATTAAATCAGTTTAAGCATAGTTACAATCATCAAAGTCAAATGTCTGACAAATGGCTGACAAGCAATCACCCATGTGTTAAACAAACAAAGAATTAAGAGAATTGAGAATTACTTTTTTCTCATCACTAAGTGGTGTCACGTCGTCATTCTTTTCCTCTGGCATGTCCCTCCATCCACTGGCACGCATTCGATCAATCTGCACAAACATGGAGTCCAAATCCTCGATCTGAAGTAATACCATATCCCAGAACCCAGCAAGGTCTCCTCCTCGTGTCTCAAATGGATCATCTGGATCAGGGCTCTAAAATATCATGGTTTTAAGCACATATAAGATGTTTTTGATTGAGCATTATATCTCAGCTATACAGTTGTACCAGTATGCAAATGAGAGGTTTTACACAAAAGGGAACTTTATTCTCTTTCACCACTTTGCTTCCCATGCCCTGGTTCCAGTTGTTTAAACGACAAAAAAAAAATTTAATCATTCATTTTTCGTTAGCGACCATTAATCTTGTTAAACTCTGGCACCCAGGGGCAAAATCCGTGGTCTGTCAATCAAATGGTCAATGCTCACAGTAAATGTATATCCAAAATATTGTTGGCAGAAAATTCAATGCACCAATCTACATCAACCACAATCTTGGAGTGGAACACCGTCACTATATATATAGGATAAGAAAATGCAAAAATTTCTTCATATCAATTACAACAATAACTCACCAAATTTTTCTCACACAGCTCCCCAAACTGTTTAAACTTTAAGTGAAGCATGAGGTGTGCTTTCCCAGTGGCAGCTCTCAGGATTCCAGCCACTGCAAGAGGAGAAAATAACATGCTGTACTCGTTCATGTTCAATTTTCATTCCAATATATAAAAAAAACCTGATATTGCGTTGTATTTCATAAATATATCTTATAAATTTTCATTTCAATATTTTAAATACCTGACACTGGGTTTTATCTAACAAATATCTTATAAATTTGTGCATCTCTCTGAATCATGGCAAGTTGGTATGACATATTGATAAGGTAGTAGTCGGTTTTCTGGGGGAGGCGTGATCAGACCCCCCCCAGGGTCAACCAATGCCACTTTTCACTATATCAACCCCAATAGCAGGCAAAACAAGAGATGATTACAAGGTTATAAAATTAGTTGAGTTTACTCATGAATGAGTAGAGAGCATCAGTGCACACACCATCATCAGAGAGGTCCTCCTGCTGCAGGTCAGCCTCCGCCAGGTCACACAAGTGCTGCAGACGACGCTCCTCTTCATGCATCGCATTCAGGAAATAGTGGCCATCCTGGAGAGAGAGTCAAAATGTTTTTTTTTTTTTTATAATTCTACTCTTTTTAAAAGTTAGTTTAACAGATTTTGCCTTGTTATTCTTCTTTGCTGACATAAAACCTGACCAAATGCTTATGAATCTGTATAATGTTTAGGAACTCAGGGTGTCTAATCAACTACCTTTCTTTGAAAACTATTACCTTCTTAGGTGTGGACTCCTGTATGGTCCCTGCTACAATATCTCTCAGCTTCACAGCCTCATCTGTCTCATCATTACATTCTGTGCCATTCCTCCTCTCAGCGGCATCTTCTACCAACTCATCACTTTCACTTTCCTCGGCATCTTTGGCAAAATTGTCTTCTCCCTTTTCACCTACACTGTCTATCACCTCCTGTCTATTTTCATCTTCATCTTGTTCCCTTGTTATCAGAGCTTCAGAGTTGGGTGTACTTTCCCCTTGTTCCGCACACGAATTTAAGTGATTCTCACTGGTCATTTGGTCTTGGTTAAGGTCACTAGTGTCCAAGGAATCACTTGTTTTAGGCACATCACAGTTGGCAGCTACATCTTCAACGTCACCCTCATGGGTAAAGTCTACACTGAGTTCCTGTTCATGTTCCTGAGACGATGGATGCACTTCATCATTTTGTTGTTGTTGTTGTTGTTGTTGTTGTTGTAATTGCTGCTGTTTTTGTTGCTGTCGTAAATCAGCATAAACGTTCCTTATTTGTTCATTGACAATGTCAGCTGCCAGCATGTCTGTTAAATCACTATATGCCGACGTGGCAGAGTCCTGGGAGTCTGACTGATGGACTTCTTGTCCCGCGTTTAAATCACTACCGTTCTCCTGGGAAACTGACTCCTCTGAAACTACTGCAGAGACATCGTCGTGTTTATTATCGTCTGTTATCTCAGTCCTTGTGTATGCAATTCCAACTGAGTATCCATTTTGCTGAAGATGCCTACTTTCACTTTCACTTTCCACTTGGCCTTGACCTGAGGTCTCAACATGACCTCCAATGACTTCCTCCTGACCTTCACATTGTTCCCTTTCAGCTTTAGAGTCTGTATCAATGTCAACTGCTTTCAAGTCCGAGCCGTAGCTGCTGTGACCATTATAACCCGCAGATGACACACTGAGTCTCAAATAAGACTTTTGTGAGTGTGACTGGTTTGATGACATATCTGCATCAGATGTGGGAATACTGGTCTGTAACACTGAGGAATAGCCATCGGAATGGTGGCTTGTATTGGAATCAGAGCCCTCTGGTGGTCTGTGGTTTTCACCTGTGGCATCTCCATCTTCTGCATCCTCTCCTATATGTTTGATGTGCTTTCTCCTGGCAGGTATCGGCCTGTCTCCTATAACGTACAAAAAAATTCAACAATAATAACAAAAATAACAAAAATACAAAACAATAATAACAAAATCTCTTATTTACAGATATGCAGACATCTAATATGAAACTGAAAAAGCACATCATTTGAAACAAAAAACTTCTCTCTCCTACTCTCTGCATCCATCCGTCCATCCATTCATCCATCCATCTATCCATTCATCTATATCCATCCACCCATCAATGCAACCAAACTTGAGAAGAAAGTTATAAGGACAAGCATGCAAGCAGTCATATTCCATCATATCCAACAACATGACTCACCCTGTAATCTACAGCTAATAGGAGCTGGAAGGCCCTCTTGGGGCTACAGCAAGCTCACAATTTACATCAATGGATCAGTAAATGATGGAAGATGACCAACATCACTGGTTCAATTATTGTTGGGGACATGACCTCGGGACAATCTCAGGCCTACCCAACTACCAGACTCGGCACCTAAGGATCCTGAATTAACCGGTATATCGGACCACACTACCCGTTTTCAAGGTGTGTGTCAGATCGCATTTCGGAGTATCATACTCCAGAACAAATTTTGTAGGACGACTGCGGGCTCATCCAGAACACCGACAGAACAGTATCAGCCAGAACACCGACAGGATGAGCCCTGGCATGCTCGGCTGTCACCTTGATTGGAGTAAACGAGTGTCGTAAAATCGCTATATGATTTTAAAACAGGGTGCATAAATTTGAAAGCTAGATGAACCTTAGACTGCCACATTAATCTAATACAATGCAAAAATCCCTATCAAAAGTGGTTAAAACATTCAAACCGAATGTCGTAAAGTCCCCATATACTCTAAAGTAAGAGTACAGTTTAAGGTTGTTCAGCCGAGCGTGGATGAGCCCGCAGTCGTCCTACAAAATTTGTTCTGGAGTATGATACTCCGAAATGCGATCTGACACACACCTTGAAAACGGGTAGTGTGGTCCGATAAACCGGTTAATTCAGGATCCTTAGGTGCCGAGTCTGGTAGTTGGGTAGGCCTGAATCTGGACATTTTCCTTCTTTCTTTTATGAATTGCGCTAAATTTCGCATTCAAATTTTTTTCAATTATTTTTCTTTAGTCAGTGTAGAATTTTAGGATAATTTTAAGGAAAATAACCACATACTACTGTGGTCCCAGATGACACTAATAACTAATCACTGCAAGTCAAACAATGGCCAAAACATGTAGGGAAATGGGATTCTGCACAGTTAACACTCACACTCTGCCCAGTTCTGTGTAAGCCAAAGTAATATAATGGGCCATCTCCTCTCCTCTCCATCTAGTTAATGACCAGATTGAGGAAGAAAATGAGACAATTTGCATGGTTAAAACTTGCACGATGCCCAAGTATGTATGCGCCCGAGTAATATAATGGCCCATTCTCCTTGCATAGTGGTCATTGGAAAGCATGAGGTCATTTTTTAGCAGAGAAACCGTTGTTAATATGGGATTTTCTTATTTGGAGTCTATGCACCACAAGCAATAAGGGCTGGCTATCAGTCACAGATATGGAGACACTAAATATGTGTGGGTGTGGCAGTGGCAATGATTCATGTTGTTCCATAGATCATTAGCTAATTGGGGCATTGTAGATTCAAGAAAACACAAGTATTTTATAGATTTCTGCTTACCATATTACTGCTCTGCCATCCACGTTTAGGATAATGAAAAACTCTTTAAACAAATAGGTGTACTAACTTGGTGGTTCAAAAGACATTGTGGTAAAAATGGTGGTTATTTCTAAGAAATCGTTTCTCCAAATGATAATGGAAGTTTGTAGAACGTCAGTTGATTATTATGAGGACAATTTCCTGTCAATGATATCTTTGATGTGTGTGGAAGGTGTCTGATAACATAATAGTTCCCGGAACTGTCAAGCTATATGTTGTGTATGTGTATGTAATGCATGTACTACAAAGTCTGTATATTAAGGGGAACAAAATCTGAATTTCTGTCTATCCTGCAGTCATGAATGTATTATTTCAGAGAAACCCCCCCCCCCCCATGTAATCACTCTATAGTATTCCTGTTCATAGCTCAGGGGTTAATGAAGAAACAAATTGGTAAGAAAAGCTCCAATCACATGTTGTTGACTTTTAGTAACTAAAGCTAAAAATTTAAGTTGGAATTTCCTCAACGTTGTGTGTAGCACGTATATTTGCGTGATCTTGAGTTACACCTTGCCTGAGAATGTATAAACAGTATGAGTCATCTTTCACCTGATGTGGATGTTTTTATACTGTTACAGTATTATTTCAATCGTTTCTGTGTGTGTGTGTGTGTGTGTGTGTGTGTGTGTGTGTGTGTGTGTGCAAAGGCATGGGTGCTTGTCTGTGTTTGCAAACCAAGACCAGGTCTAATTGGCACAGTTTGTAGGTGGGTCCTCCTTCATATGTAGAGGGAGAAGAGAGGTTAAGTAGTCAGTAAATGCATGAATTTTGTATACTTCCTATATAACTGGTATGAACGTATCTGTATGTCCTTTCATCCCTGTATTTCCTAAATCTTATACACTACCACTTTTTATTCCCAAAAGAAGAATGTGCCATCTTTCATATAAAACATCCATGTTTCAGTAGTGCCTAGTACAGTGTTTGTATTCATACTGATACTCTAATATATGCTGACACATTTAATTCTTCTGCATACCACACTTTTATCTTTTACCAATATGTGGCACAGCAAGGTATATCAATGTAGAACAGGTTTTATGGGATTATATTCACTTTCACTGCATGTTTTATCATAATTCATGTGCATAAGTGAGCCTTTAACAAACATCCGTCATTGCCGCAGCAACAATTTTTCAAAACCACCATAATACGTGTTTATAAAAGTGTAGATAAAATAACTAATAGGTAATGCATGCTACATACATACTTATACAGGTACATCATGATGTACACGTACACACACAAGCACCTGCACAAGAACACACACATACACACACACACACACACACACACACACACACACACACTTCCCAACAGGTAACAGTATAATAATGGTACATGAAGATACGTGCCATAGAGACAAGGTGCAAAGATGTGGAGGAGGTTCCCCATGTCTGGTCCTGTGTTCCAAGAAATATTCCCAGGAATATGTCAGTTTTTTTGTTTTTTTTAAAACTTAATTTCAGTGTGTAATGCTCCCTGTTATTCCTCCAAGAAAATCAATGTCAGGTATCCCGTTTATAGGCTATATCCAAGTGTATTACTGTCATAAGTGCTATGTATCCTTTATACAAGTACGTCCTGATGTAGTAAAGATAACTGTCCAGCATTTTGTCCATGACTTCAGGTTATTGATATACATCCTGTTGAATAAAAGAATAAATCCAATGGAAAGGTGGTGGATTTGAGATAAAAATAAAGGGAAAAAAAAGAAAATATGTCTCAAAATCAATTTCAAAAGGACACTGATTTCAATTCTACATGTGATAAAAATGAGGAAACTAGAAAGGTTGCACTGCATCCTCCCATTCCGAGAAGTATCTTTATACCAGATATTACTTGCAAAAACAATTATCTATTTTGCTTCTTCTAAAACGTTCAATAAAAATATTTTCAACCAACAGTCAAAGGTCATAATGCTTCCTGTACAGTACGGTTTTTATTGTGACCAGAAGTCATTCGTCTACACCCAAATATAAAAGATCTGGACCAAAGCCCCTCTCAGACGACTACTAAGCTCTTAGTTTCCTAGTAATAATTCTTCCCTCAGTGAATTATATACCAGTCTCCCAGGTCAATACCCTAGACCCAAGAATTCCCTGGAAAATGAACGTTCATCAGGTTTCTTAGAAAATAATTGCACTTCAGTATCCGAAGTAGCACATCTGTGCTATTACTAGTTACTGCAGTGGTTACAAGATCAATGCTTATATCCTAATATCCCTTGTGGAGATAGAAAATATAGCATTCATCCCGACATGTAAAAATCACATCATATTTCAAGCATCTCAGTCCCTACAAACTAAAACATCTATATAACATCTATGCTTTAATGTAGCCTCAGGGATGAATGAGACATATTTCACCAAATCCTTGCATCTATTTTCCTTAGCTAAAGAGACCAACAATTATTAGGTTGCCTTGATGTACTATTATGCTGATGAAAAATAAAATATGAATTTCAAAAATAAAAAACGAAAAGAAAAAATCAGCACAATTACTCATACCAGGCTCTAACATTGAACGACTAATGCAGCCAGCATATCGCTGCGATCTCCGTGATCCCTAATATTCCTCCTAGATCTCAAAGCACATGTGGAACATATACATAGAAGCCATAGTTTACATTCCTGCCTGGATAACCAAATATAACTGTTCTCATCCTTGCTCTATTAATCTCGATAGCCCCTCATGCTAGGGGCATGTGCTACAAATAAACATACAATTCCTGTCATTCTTTTGTAAACCTACCCCTCACATAAAAGAGAAACATGTAACAATATGCTATACATCACCCTGTTTTTTATATGTTTCAACTGTCTAAAAAAAAAAAACTTCCGCTTTAGCTTATCACTGTAATTCTAGTTATCTTATCCTGAATCTTGTAAATCTCCACACAGTCATATACATAGATCACATGTATGGTATCAATCTCTTCCCATTAATATACCAGTCTGCCTGTTTACTACTACATAGCACTCTCCATTCCAAGAAGACTGTTACTCTGAATCAAAGGTATATGTACCACACTGTATAGAAGTCTTGCACAACTACAACTGCCAGCACCGGTTTGTATCTGCACTGCCCTTTTACGTCTATCTCTCAGCTGGTGAAAATACAGACAGTTTGTGGTCTGTTCTACCCAGCAATCAGTAATGAAAACACACACTTAGTGTTGTGTCTTATAGCAGGGAAGTGATCCTAGTGCTCCACCTGCATTTTGTTCAACAACCTCTGATTTCTTTCTTCCTGCTGATCTCTGCTCTCATGGCATTAGTAACAACAAGCACTGCTTTTGATC